TTTAAACTCATAGTTTATGAGTTATTTATGAAAAACCGCTTAAAATATGAATTTTTTGACGCAAAATCACAATCTTTGATCCTTATTAACTCAGAAAGTATTGATTTATTTCGAAAACTTAATAAAACATATTTTGCTTAGAATTTGTCTTTCTATCGATTCCTGGAGTTATTTCTATTATAATAATTTTTACCCCCGAGAAGGGGTGGTACCCCTAGGGCAAAAGCGCAAGTTGGCACTATGTCACTTTTGTTCCATATGGTATCCCCCACCTCATCACCATTTTTCATGAAAATCGATGGAGGTTCATTATTTCAATGAACCACCGGAGGTTATAGCTGATTTTTGGCTTCATTGACTGTACTATTATGAAAACAAAGATTGAACTATATTTCCTTGATACTGTTACATGTGTTGTGTACTAACTCATTTAGATGTGATTTTATGGTAATTTAATGTCTGACTGACATGGAACCTACTCTTAAAGTGCCAACAATTAGGGAGTTTACCCTATAGTGTAATGTTTTCTTGTCTTAACTATTAATTTTATTCAAAATGATTTAATGAACTTGGAACGATATAGCCCACGGTTGTACTGATACAATCGTCATTGTTTAAAATTATTGTTGATTTATTTATTGTCTCTAGTACGATTTGATTTGGCGGGCTATCTGAAAAACGGTTTTTTTGCCTGACAGCTTCAAATTTGAGTTTTTTCAAATAATACTTTGGAACAATGTTAGGAACAACTAGAACAACTAAAAAAATAATGAATTTCCAAACATGGGGGCCTATCTCAAAAAAGGTTTTTTTTGCCTGACAGCTTCAAATTTGAGTTTTTGCATATAATACTTTGGAACAATGTTAGGAACAACTAGAACAACTTGGAACAACTAAAAAAGTGTTGAATTTCAAAACATGGGGGGGCTACCATAAATTTCTTTTTTGTCTGGCAGCTTCAAATTTGAATATTTTCAAATAATACCTTGGAACAATGTTAGAAACAACTAGAACAACTTGGAACAACTAAAAAAAATTGAATTTCCCAGCATGGGGGGCTACCATAAAAAAGTTTTTTTTGTCTGGAAGCTTCAAATTTGAGTTTTTTCAAATAATACTTTGGAACAATGTTCGGAACAACTAGAACAATTTGGAACAACTAAAAAAATATTGAATTTCCAAACATGGGGGGCTACCATAGAAAAACGGTTTTTCTTGTCTGGCAGCTTCAAATTTTAGTTTTTTCAAATAATACTTTGGAACAATGTAGAACAAACATAGAACAACCCAGAACAACCTAGATAATAATAAAATTCAAAAAGTGGGGGGCTAACTTCACAGAGGTCAGGGCGGAGTCACAATACTGTATATATAATATTACCGTGCTATGGGTGTAGTAACATTTAGCCAAAGACTGATCGAACTTGTTTAAATAACATAAAATCAAATCTTTTTTGTAAAGATCGATAAAATAAAACATTTTTTTATTACACTGTGCTATTAATATCCACACCTATATTATCATTTTCACTACATGCAAATGTGCTAAGACAATTATTATAGATGGTAGGTGACATCATAAAGTCTATTGCCATACGTTTTCGCGAAACACCACCATAAACACATTATAAGGTGTAATACACTAAAAATCTAAAATATAAATATAAAATAATAAAGCTACTTAAGATATGGCAATGGCTGTATTACCTAAATCTCTTGACTTTCTTTGGTTAACGAGAGTATAAAAAACTCTCATCTGTGGCTCATTCACAATCATCACACAGTTTCTGTCACAGAGTACCTTATTATAACCGGAAATACATAGATGTTACCTGATTTTAAAATTTGATCATGTGCATCTAATACATAATATCGGTACTTGGCTTTATTTCCCTTGTTAATTAAATGAATTGAATAACTTATTTGTTTTTTATTATTTTAATACCTATACTATAATACCTCAAAATCGTTCAGTGTAAATGGTTTATAGAAGTTCTCAGTGGTGTCCGTCAATAATATTCGTTTCTACAGTAATTTATATATAATTTCGAATCTAGGAAACAATTTTTCATGATTATTGGTCTTTAGGCCAAACATGTATGGAAGCTGAGCAAACGTCTGTTAAGCTAGCATGGCAAAGGGAGCAGAATCGTTTAAAATAAAGTGCATCAATTAGTGCTTATTTAGTGCTAATTTAGTGCCAAAACCGGAAATTTAATGCGCTCATAGTTTAGCGAAAAATTAGAACACTGCCAGCTTTTAATTAAGCTAGCAGTGTATTCCCTGAAACGCCTATATTAACGCGGTATAGAACTAAAGTAATGCATAAGGAATTTAGTGCTTAATGAGTGCTGGCAGTATCTGATGAAAATTTTGAAAAAATAAATAATATTTAATTTTTTATCAATAAAAACTGCTAGTATGACAGTCTGAGAAAGTTACCGGTTCGAATACATTGTATCACTCTGGATCGAAGATCTATGATAATCAACGGTTAATAATTTAGTGCTCAATGAGTGCTGGCAGTATGTGATAAAAAATTAGGAAATTTAATTTTTTTTAATTTTTTATTAATAAAAACTGCTAGTTTGACAGTCTGAGCAAGTGACAGGGTTGAATACATCACTCTGGATCGAAGATCTATGATAATCAACGGTTAATAATTTAGTGCTCAATGAGTGCTGCCAGTATGTGATAAAAAAATTAGGATTTTTTTTTTTAATTTTTTATCAATATATACTGCTAGTATGACAGTCTGAGCAAGTGACCGGGTTGAATACATCACTCTGGATCGAAGATTTATGATAGTCAACGGTTAATAATTTAGTGCTCAATGAGTGCTGCTAGTATGTGATAAAAAATTAGGAAATTTTATTTTTTTTATTTTTTTATCAATATAAACTGCTAGTATGACAGTCTGAGCAAGTGACCGGTTCGAATACATCACTCTGGATCGAAGATCTATGATAATCAACGGTTAATAATTTAGTGCTCAATGAGTGCTGCCAGTATGTGATAAAAAAATACGTGATTTTAATTTTTTATCAATATAAACTGCTAGTATGACAGTCTGAGCAAGTGACCGGGTTGAATACATCACTCTGGATCGAAGATCTATGATAATCAACGGTTAATAATTTAGTGCTCAATGAGTTTTTTTTTTAATTTTTTAACAATAAAAACTGCTAGTATGATAGTCTGAGCAAGTCACCGGGTTGAATACATCGCTCTCGATCGAAGATCTATGATAATCAACGGTTAATAATTTAGTGCTCAATGAGTCACTTGCTCAGACTGTCAAACTAGCAGTTTTTATTAGTATAAAATAAAAAAATCCAAATGTTTTATCACATACTAGCAGCACTCATTGAGCACTAAATTATTAACCGTTGATTATCATAGATCTTAGATCCAGAGTGATGTATTCAACCCTGTCACTTGCTCAGACTGTCAAACTAGCAGTTTTTATTAATAAAAAATTTAAAAAAATAAAATTTCCTAATTTTTTATCACATACTGCCAGCACTCATTGAGCACTAAATTATTAACCGTTGATTATCATAGATCTTCGATCCAGAGTGATGTATTCGAACCGGTCACTTGCTCAGACTGTCATACTAGCAGTTTTTATTGATAAAAAATAAAATATTTTTTATTTTCCAAAATTTTCATCAGATACTGCCAGCACTCATTAAGCACTAAATTCCCTATGCATTGCTTTAGTTCTATACCGCGTTAATATAGGCGTTTCAGGGAATACACTGCTAGCTTAATTAAAAGCTGGCAGTGTTCTAATTTTTCGCTAAACTATGAGAGCATTAAATTTCCGGTTTTGGCACTAAATTAGCACTAAATAAGCACTAATTAATGCACTTTATTTTAAACGATTCTGCTCACTTTGCCATGCTAGCTTAACAGACGTGCTGAGCAATCTCCTTTCTACACTGTGTATAAAATTCAATCAACATTGAATTTTATTTACAGTGTTGAGAAACACTGTTGACTTTTCGATCTGAATTCAATTTACAAATCAAAAGGAAAAGTTTGCTCTATAGCGCCCTTCTGTTGATTAAAAACAGCTAGGAAAGCTTTTTTGTAACTTTTTGGAAAGTTTATGAGACTAGTTAATCATTTTACTAATTTGTACGCCAAATTCCGCAAATTGCGGCGAAGTCCGGGAAAAATACATAAAAAAAAATATTATTAATAAAGTCCTTTTATTTCTAAGATTGTGTGGGCTACTATGGGCAAACCCTTTTTTCAATGAATACAAAATTTTTAGCTTTCATAAAACTATCGATGTTTAGAATGGAGTAGTTTACTCTCAATTAATGGTTTTTGGTAACAAGTCAAAAAATTTCAAATCGTCGAAAACCCGTCACAACTCTTTTACCATCCAGCTTTGACCCCTGGGTCACAGGACTTAATTGTTGCTAATGACCTCTAGTATAAACACATTCAAGGAATAGGTGGAGTTTTCCTGTCACCCTGTATTTTTTTCAATATTCGCCTTTGTAATCTATACTCATGCTTATCATGAAACTCTTAAGATTAACTCTTCACATTTAAGGTACTTTATTTTCATTATGATTATATTAAATAATATTAATAAATACTACATTTTAATAACAATAAAATATTTATATAAATGTAGGCCTTATCAGTGATAAACACACCTACCATTTTTCTGGATAAGAAACTGACACCTAAACGTATACAGATTGAATACCTAGGTTTATTTAACTATTTATGTCTTAATATATTTTTTTAAGCATGTAACTGCTTGATGTTTAAGTCTGTCTTGCGGCTTAAGAATGGCTAGAGGAATTTCGACGTGGCCATCAGGGCCGCGGTAGCATAATTTTTCAGTGCATTCGCCCGGATAGCGAAGAGTGCGGGTTCGAGTCCCATCTGCTGCCTGGTCCGCGTGGTTTTTTTTTTAGTTATATTTATTTATGCCTTGCCTCTGTCCAACTTACTTTATTTTCTTTTCTTTTCAGATAACATGGGGTTACTAGCTGCTCTTGCAGTGAATTTGGTAGGTGGCACTGCCATCTACTTGACAGGCGGGGTTGCCGCGCCGTTTGTGGCCGGTTACTTAGGATTCGGCAGTGCCGGTATTGCCGCTGGCACCACTGCCGCAGCCGCCCAGGCGTATTATGGAAACTTAGTGGGAGGGAGCATCATTTCCCAGCTCACAGCAGTTGCCATGGCTGCTCCCACCCCATAAGAGTTTAATATGAAAAGTAAGAAATATTTTTTAAATTATTGAAATTGAGCAGTGTTAAGCAGAAAGTGGGCAGCGGGAATTTTTGAACCTAGCAAAAATTTGTTCTGTGGACCAATTTTTAAAATATGATTGTCAAAGCAGAAACCGACCATCGGTCATTTTTGGGATCAAACAATCAAATTATAACATGGGATCGTAATTGTAGAACAAATCGCTTGGTTCAAAAATACCCGCTGGTCGCTCAAAGCTAAATTTTTACTTTGATAATAAATAAATAAATGGCGCGGTGTGAAAGCGGCCATAGAAAGAATCCCCGAAAACCGAATACTGTCCCTAGAGGAGGCGTTAGCTTGTACCTATGCTATTACTATTTTGAAAACCTGTGCCAAAGCAGTTAAAATTACATAGCTTTGCAGTGTGCAAGTGAGCTGTATTAACTAATGTTTATACATATACGCATTTTTGTATGGAGAATGCTAGTCCCTATAATTTATTTGTCCGTGATACTACTACTCGCCTCGCCTCTTTATTTGTATTCATTAGCTTATCTAACCGGTCTTTTTTTTTCAGGTAAACTATCGGCACGGAAAGGCTGCATTTAAATTTGATTATGTAATGTATATCTAATTTGTTCAGAATTGGTATCTTTAAATAAAAATGGAAATTGATATTTTTTTAATTTGATTGAAACCCATTAAGCAGTGTTGCTACGTTTTCATTTGTTTTACCCTGACACGAAAGATGTTGTTCTTCTCAATAAAAATGTAAAAAATATTAATAACCGCCTGCAGTGCCACCTATCGGCTAGAGTAATACGTTAAATCTTCTAATTTTCTTCGGAAGATATCGTATTTTTTTAGGTTTGTTTTCCTCATAAGGAAAAAACGGAACCGTTTTAAGATCCCTTTGTTGTCCGTTTGTCAGTCGGTATGTCTGTCTGTCAAGATCCTTTATCTCGGAACGCGTGGCGGTATGAAGTTGAAATTTAAACCCTATATACCAACTCGATTACATACTTTTTAAGGTGGTACCAACCACTGATACGCATAATAATATTGTCATTAAAAGTTCCCACTATATGGACGGGGAACAGGCTATCATTAAGTATTTGCATAATTATTTAAAGAAAATAACAAGTACCACGTTAATTTAATTGATTGTATGGTAACACTGGCGATTTCGTTAGTAAGTGCCGGAGTTGTAAAGGTTGTAGTAAATTCCTTTGCGGTTCATGAGTGTTGAGTGCGTGCCGCTCTCGGCCACTCGTCCGTCGCTGATTACACAGATACAGTCAGCGTCGCGTACAGTGCTAAGCCGGTGAGCTATTGTTATGCAACTCCTTCCGATTCTCCCTTTGTCCAAGGCTTCTTGCACTACCTAAAAAGGCGAAGAAATCAGGTATCATCATCACTAGGCTATTAATGTGCCCACTGCTGGGGCACAGGCCTTCCTTATGGTTGGAATCGGGAGATTGGGCCATGACTCATCACGCGGACCCAGTGCGGATTGATGGGTACTAACTGCAGATGCAGCCGAGACCAACGGCTTAACGTGCGTTTCAAAGCACGCAGGAGCTTGAGATAATAAATTTTTGGTCACCCATCCAATGACCCGATCACTTCGAAAGTTGCTTAACTTAATCAGAGCCGAACGCCATCGAGCTCCTCCTTGCGTCATCAACTCCGCACAAATTAGGTATAGGTAACGGCTAACATCTTCAGTAAAAGCATAGGTATTAGACGAACTTGCGCAGTAGAGGATTTTGTTTGTTAGTTTTCAATATAATGGTTTGGTTGTCTCACCTTTTCACTTTCTGAATCTAGGGCGCTAGTAGCTTCGTCAAGCAGCAGTATCTTGGGCCTACGCACGAGAGCTCTCGCAATGGCCACACGTTGCTTCTGGCCGCCCGACAGCTGCGTACCCTTAGAGCCTATGTTGGTTTCGTAGCCCTATTAAAAATAAAAGTTTCTATTATGGTACGATAAAATGAAGATAAATAACGTTATTATTCTGAAAAAAAAAAGGTTTTACTATTAAGGCTTTATGGCTGCTCACAAGATCGATAGTGATACGAAGCAAAACCATAAGGCGCTTTGCAGACAACGGGGCGGGGCGGGCCGGTCAATTTCGCCGCGAATAATAGCGCAAAGTGAATCCTATACTTCAAACGCACACAGAGGGCAAAAAGACCGTGCCGCAGGTGCCCGGCGGGCAGTAGCGGCGCGGCATGTCCGCGGCTGCCCGCCGTCGATCATACAAACCAGTTTATATGCAGTAACGCAGACAAAATGGATGCATTGAAATATCATGTGGGGTAGAATCATTTGCTTGGACATACTTAAGTTAAATTTATTATTTTACGAGTGGGTGCCCGCGACTTTGCCTGCGTGGAAAAATTGATTTCCCATATAAAATCCCCCCTTCCATTTAATTCCCATAAAGAATGATTACCTACTAAGTTAAATAATATATTATGGTCTTACCCGGAAACATCAAACAAACCATCTCTATACCACATTTCATTCAAATCGGTTCAGTGGTTTAAGCGTGAAGAGGTAACAAATATTAGTATAGATATTTAAAAAACCTGAGGTAATGACACAATAAAGCGGTGAATATTGGCTTGCTCAGCGGCGTCTTTTATGTCATCAAATGGCACAGTCCTCGAGGTGTCTCCATATGCAATATTTTCGGCGATGGTGCGGTCGAATAAAACTGGTTCCTGAGACACCAGGCCGAGCGAAGAGCGCACGTCTATCACACGCAATTGTGGCAACGGAACGCCGTCCAACGACTGCCAAATTAAGACCCTTATTAATTTTAGCATGCTATATAAGATCATATAAAAATTACACTAAACGGAACAGTATTAGACCAGTACCCTTAGTACGAGTTTTACAATTACGAAAACTATGATATAGTTTTCGTATGCTCGCACTTGTACTAAGGGTACTGATTTTATTGTTTTCGTTTCAATACAAATAAACAGTGTTTAAATTATATCATTAAATCATGTGCGTCTTCTTAAATTTTAAGTATATTTGGTTACTTTTCACCAAAATGGACATAGAAACATAATATACAATTACGAAAACTATGATAGTTTTCGTGAGCGCAAACTCGTACTAAGGGTACAGAGCGGATGCCTTTTAAAGTCGTAAAAAGTGAAAAATATTCGGAACAAGGTGAAACCCATATATACTTAATGGAAGGGAGCACATTAAAAAAAGGATAAATAAATTACAGGCTATTTGAGGTGGGGGGTGACCTTTAAAGGGAGGGAAAACGAATCATCGCAAATTTCAGGAAAAATTACAACTTCTATCGAAAGAAATATATATGGCAAAAGTATAGGTAATAAAAAGATGTACTTACCACTTTTCATTTACACTTTTTTCACATAACCTAAAAATCTAGTTTTACTTTTCCCGAAAGTCTGGATAAACCGTTTTTCCCCCTTAAAAGGTCTTAAAACTTCCCGACCTCAAATCACGCTTATTTTTTTCCCCATATCAAAAGGAAGATAGAACATATATAAAAATATATGTTCTATCTTCCTTTTGATATGGGTTTCACACTGTTCCGAATTATTTTGTTCTTAAACAATTATCGGCTTATTAATTATCTAGTATGTCAGTGAAAGAGAAAGTACATTATCAAAAATCCTGGAGGCTGATAAAGTATCCTCAATCATGTTTTGTAAAGAAATAAGCATGTTAGTGAGTAAGGTTTTCAGAGCTTCATAGAAGGGTAATATACCTATCTATATGGCTTTCCTACAAAAGGCTGTTTGGCACCCTCAAAATGTCGCGACTCACCACTGTGCCTGTATAGGGGTCGTAAAATCTTTGGAGAAGTTGCACTACGGTGCTCTTGCCGCATCCGCTTTGCCCGACCAGAGCCACTGTGGTTCCGCGTTCCAACTGATAATGAACACCCTTCACATTATGTATGTACTGCGGCGATCTACCCAGAAGGGGTAGGCCCTGGGAGCGTAACTTTATAAATGAAAACTAATTAGATTTCATATGTTTTTTATTTGAAATCAGGCGAATATAATAATTGAGCTTAATCTATCAACGTATGGTTTGGTACCTGAAGTCTATCTCCTGGAACCTTCTATCAAACGACAGTCGATTCACAATTTCAAATATTAAAATCATGACATTAACTTTTTAATGTGACTGCCAGCCGTAGGCATTAACATGAACAAAGAGTTTACACAAACAAGGAGGATGTAACGTAACGGACGGTCCCTCCGACATCGCTAAAAAACATTGACCGAACAAATTTTTTTTCCTACCTACTACATCGAGAGGGTTCGATAGTCCTTTCTAGAATCCCTACCTGCTTAAGGACATCAATACAACCGGGAGGCGGCCTTTACTACAGACTAGCCCTCACAATAAGTTTGCAAAACTTCTTGCAAAAAAAAACTTTACGGGAATAGACCCCTAACAGTTTGCAAAGTTTATTGCAAAGACTTTACGGGAGCAAAACCTTAACAAAATCACCCGTACATCTCCCCCCTAACCTTAATTTTACTCAACATCGACATCAGTCGGCAAAAACAAAAAACAAAACTATCCCTAGCTATTCCTTAAATTACCCAAGCTATTTTTATTTTATCCCATCTATCAGCAAAACTTTACCCTATCCCATTTATTGAACCATTAAATATCAAGGAAATATATAACGAGTGCTAAACATTTTAAATCAAGAAAGAAGAAGTATAAAAAAATGGAGACCAGGACCACATTCGACGGAAAAGGTGATGTAACCGATTTCTTTAGACAGTTTAACATCATCGCCGCCATTAATCATTTTAATGAGAATACGAAAAGAATTGTGTTGTCGGCGGCATATTTGAGTGGCCCTGCATTATTATTTTATAAAAAAAATAATGAGACTTGCGAGAATTTTCAGATTTTAGAAAAAAAGATACGTGAGGAATTTTCATCATCCATAAATCCATTGGAAAAGAAATTTCACGGCGGCAAGGCTTGTCAGAAAAGCCATTGACCTATTTTTATGTATCGGACGATTTAGCCACAAAAGCGGGAGCTGTCATCGATGACAGATGTTTCATAAGACAGTTCCTGAAAAATGCGAATTTAAATACAAAAAATCTTATCGCATTTCAATTATATAGTGATAAAACACACTTTAAATCAGTTTTACGTCAAGCGCAGGATATTTTCGGGGACGAAAGTACCGAAATTTGATGGAATCTGCCAATCCAACCATCATTTGTCATTACGAAGCTCCAAAAGTTTCGCATATAACAAGGAATGAAGAAGAACAGGAGAAGGAAATCAACCTCTTTTCCTCCCAAAATGTCCCTTCTCATCCCATTGTTCCTCCCGAACACATGATGCCCCGCATTTTTTGTTCCAGTAACTTGAACAAAAAGAAGAATAAACCTAAGGAGAAGCATATGAAGAAGTTCTCCATTCACAGCCGTCAGAAAAAAACAATCAGCATACAAGGGAGTCCAAACCATTAATTAATATAACGTGTCGTGATAAGACATTTGTAGGGCTCATTGATAGTGGTGCTGCAGTGTCTGTGGTGTCAAAAGACACAGTAAGTCGAATTCATCAACAAATTGATGAAAGCGATATGAAGTTGAAAGCTGTCGATGGTAAAGAAGTGTCTGTTATAGGGAAAGTTAACTTAAAAACATGGATGGACAATACGTTATTCATTCACGATTTTCTTGTAGCAGAAAATATTAGACATAACCTCATCTTAGGACAGGATTTTTTTACTTCGAAATAATGCGATAATAGATTTTCATAACGAACAATAATAATGAGTGTAACTTAAAAGGCAATAAATGAATAATGAAAGTAGTAGCGATAATTCGGTGAATGATGAGTTTTTATATTATGTCGAATAGGTTGATAATTACTATAATATTAATGTGTTACTAATGAGATTTTATTTCAGTTTATTGTTTATATGAATGTTTTAAACTTTAAAACATTCATATAAACAATAAACTACATACCACCATTGCTTTAAAATTTAAAGCAATGGTGGTATGTAAATAAGGTTCAATACAATAGTCATTTTAGAATTTTATTTCGAAAGCATAATAAATATAACTTAATTATTTCATTAGAAAAGTTGTTCAATGTACGTATTATAAGGAACTTTTACACATTTTATTTATGATAGATTTAGTTTCTTTAAGTATTTTCATTTCTTTTAATTGTTAATTTCTTGTGTAGGCGGATAACTATCATCATAATAATTATTAGAATGCTAGGTGACAGGTTCGATTCTCTGTTCAACTTGGAATTTTTTCAATTGACTTTGAATGTGATCATTGATTTATCAATTGGATTAATTCAGTATTAGGATAGAATATAGTTAATAATGTATAATAGGATAATATAGGTAAAGAAAATCGCTTTATTATAAAAAAAAGAAACGGGTTCGGTTCCCTGTAAGATTGAAAACATAAATAAATGAATAATAATATAATACTTTGAAAATTTAGCCAACTACAGAAAAGACAGTGTAAGGATTTATCATTAATGTTTTCTTGTATGTCAATTTACCCAACTACAGATAAGATAATGTAAGGATTTATCATTAATGTTTTCTTGTATGTCAATTTACCCAACTACAGATAAGATAATGTAAGGATTTATCATTAATGTTTTCTTGAATATTAACTTACCCGACTGAAGAAAAATGGTGTAAAGAATTTTACTAATATTTTCTTGATTGTTCTATGTACTACATGATACGGACTTCCCGAGAGAGGAGGCTGGCGCTCATGCAGACGTCAGCGATACTGACGATGATCCACCATGAAGATGATGAAGACACCCTCTACGAATTCGCGTCGTCTTCGTTTCCATTTGGTCGCGTCGCGTTCGTCATTTTAAATCGTCACTTGTAGTAGATTGACTTGGGCGTAGGGAACCCTTAGTATTCCATGGGAATTGGGTTTAATCTTGTTTGATGCTGGATGTCCTTACCCAAAATTTCTATTACGTTTGCGCATCATGGGTGTCTAATAAAGTACAAGACAATAAGGTGGTGGACTACGTCTGTATCTTTATTGAAGATGTACGAAAGTAAACATGAATTATTAATTCTTTTAGTTTCTCAAATCCAGTTAGTATTTACGAATCTTAAGTAATAGTTCGAATTTCGTTTCGTGCATCTATTTAGTACGGGAAGTAATGAAGTTTCAAAATTTATATAGATTTCCTTGATATTTAATGGTTCAATAAATGGGATAGGGTAAAGTTTTGCTGATAGATGGGATAAAATAAAAATAGCTTGGGTAATTTAAGGAATAGCTAGGGATAGTTTTGTTTTTTGTTTTTGCCGACTGATGTCGATGTTGAGTAAAATTAAGGTTAGGGGGGAGATGTACGGGTGATTTTGTTAAGGTTTTGCTCCCGTAAAGTCTTTGCAATAAAGGACATCGACGAAATCGGCCCTAGCATGCCCAAAAGAATGTCCTTCACTATTATTTCTCTATTATTTTTTTAACTTATTAGCAATTAATCATAGTAAACGGACAATCTGTATAAAAAAATATAAAATAAAAGTTCTGTTACTAAGATACTACAGTCTGTTCATCCAACTTGGCACTCCTTTTTATTGAAAATACAGCATTAAAAATCAACTGATAACTGGATTCAAAAGGTTTCAGTCTATAATAACGATTTATTTTAATAGTTTATTGGCTTCGTTAATATTTTATTCTTAAATGGGTGATTCTGTTAAAAAGTTGTGCCAAGATTGTTTACCTTAATAAATGCAATATAGGCGACCATAGGTATTTATCAACATAAAAATAGAACTAGGTACCTTAGTTGATAATACTTATTACGAGTATTTATATTATATTTATAAAAAGATTATTTCTGAAATTATGTAAAGATACTTTATACTCCCATCCCATCTGTTTATTTTTATGAAAATCATAATGATAACCAGGTACATACCTAATTACCGATAGTAAAATATAGAAATAGGTAAATGGAAATACTTTGAACATTTCATTTGAAAAGAAATCTATTACTATAGGTAGGTAAAGGTATCATAGGTGCCAACTGACAACACTCATAAATCAATATGAATATAAGCATTTATTATTTTTATTATTAATTGCATTTTATGTTCATTTAATGCATATTATTTAAGTGCTTACATAGAGGTAAACACTAAATCTATTCAGAATATATAAAGTGTACATCTTCTACGATTAAGTATAATATTTATAACCTCAAAATCTAATACATTCTGTAGTAGGCCACAGTTCCTCAAGTTGTCCGTATCTCAACAAATGCCTAATTAGAGTTAATGAATGATTCCGAACACAACTAGCATTTTCTCATTGCTGGGCGTTCTAGGGCATTCAATGTATGGGGAACGAGCAATGTCCTTTGCAAACTGTTAGTTAGGGGTCTATTCCCGTAATTTTTTTTTGCAAGAAGTTTTGCAAACTTTTACTACATAAAGGCCGCCTCCCGGTTGTATTGATGTCTTTAAGCAGGTAGGGGAAAAAAAAATGTTCGGTCATCTAGTATGACAAAACAATTTTTTTAGTGTCATGTAATGCATACGGCTGGCAGTTATATTAAAAAGGTAATGTAATGATTTTTAAAGATTTGAAATTCGGAATCTTCTGTCGTTTGATAGCAGGTTCCAGCAGAGATAGACTTCAGGCACCAAACCATACGTTGATAGATTAAGCTCAATTATTATATTCGCCTGATTTCAAATATAAAAAAATATAAAATCAAAGTTGTTTCAATTATTATTACTACGCTCCCAGGGCTACTGCGGCGATCTACCCTGAAGGGGTAGGCCTTGAGGGTAGATCGCCGCAGTAGCCGTAGGCATTACATGAACAAAGAGTTTACACAAACCAGGAGGCTGTAACGTAACGGACGTTACAGTACATTCACACCGGAATGGCAGCGACGCGGCGAGCACTTTTAGTGTGAAATTAACTTTTTAGCTACATACTTGAACGACTAGAAAAGGCACCGCGAGTGTCGCTAACGGGCGGCCGCGCTAACTTTCTTGCTTTTCAAGTGAAGTGATACTGGTTTTTGAAACATGTAGATAAAGTATAAAGATATTTCACACTAAAACTGCGCGCTACGTTGGCTTGAGCGAGAGCATCAACCTTCATATAATCCGAAAAGCCCAGCTTGTCCTAACTAAAACTGAATTGCATAACCCAGACACAGACGAAGATAGCAGCGCTCGTGCGTGTGGCATTCACTGCGTTGCGACAACGCGACGCAGCGCCCGTGTGGCAACTCCCTAAGTCTATACTCTGGGCATGCCACTGATGGAGGTCGAATACCATGATTTATAAATGAAAGAATCTTATAACAGCTACATGCCATCTTTCATCATCCGGAACAATATAGTGACAGTTAGTTAGGTAGTCCGTCTCCTACAATAGAACATAACTAGCGTATCCGTTGAAGGACTTTTACTGGCAGTAGCGGGAAAGATAGCTAGGTCTTTCTTCGATACTATGCGGACATGGCTGTAAAGCAATTTCATTGGTAGTGTAGTGTAGTGGAGGTTCTGGTCTTGAAGTGGCAACAGACGCCTTAATGCCAAGAGAAATGTCTAAAATTTCATGCTCACGATGAGCTGTGAAAGCACAAACAATATGCTATGAATTACAACAGCTTCCTCCTGATCCTGATCAAGGAAAAGTGATTAATAGATTTCTATGCAGTTTGTTTTCCACTTCAAGAGAAAATCTTTTATTATCATCCTATTAAAATTCTATTAATCAGATATGAAAAATAAAGTAAACTTACATGAAAACTCAAGCCTTTCAACACACGCGCAGTATGTAGGGATGGATACGTAAACTCAACATCCTCAAAATTTACTTCGCCCGAGGCTTTCTGTAAGGATAAAATAGAAAAGGACAATGTTAAAATTGGCCTAAGAACCAACACCAATTTGGCATTTATGATAATTCTTAGTATATTTTTTGCGATAATTATCAGTATTTAGATTGTGACGGACACTTCCAGTTAAGTAAGCTAATTTAAAAAGTTAATAAATAATCTGAGACAATAAATACCATTTTATGTGTATAATCTATGGCAGCGCTGCAAACAAAACACTCTTTCTTCCTAATGCCGGCACTTCACTTGGCTATTATATCCTTTTAATTCCTTATTAAGCATGACAAGGACAAATTGTTGTCAAGTGAAGGGCCGGCATAAAACTCGATACTCTGTGGTTGTGGTGCATGCAGTTTGCATTCGTAGTAATCTGTGGCATTCGTGCATTCCAAAGAGTAGTTTAATATACCGGAAAGTGCATTTTCGTTTCGGATTACCTGTTGTGTGTGTTTATTTGCGATTGTTTTTCCTTTAATATAACTATTTCGGCTATCTAATATGCCATCGATGTTACCAAAGAGCAGAGCCCTTATTACCAAGTGCTAGTGAACCTGTGCCACAACATCCTGAGAGGATCATACTGCCAAATTATTCAAGAACATCTGATACACATTCACGCTGCATATTTACACAATAAACATGTGATATACAAATAAATACAATAAACAATATGATATAATTATTTGAAAAATAGTCAATAAATAAGAAGCAAAACTACAGTTTTTATTTTATTCATATTCCTACCTTACCAAGTTTTTCCTAATAGTTATTCTTTAAAATCGCACCGAATAAAATGAGTTAGTTGTAATATTAATTCACTTCATACTGAGTTCATACTAAATTCATAGGTTGACCTATGTTTCATTGAATATTAAACATAACCTCAAAAAATTTTTAGTTTTCCTTATAATTTAAGTTCTCAGAAGTGTCCGTCAATAATCTTTGTTTTTACAGTCATTAACTTACGATTTTGAACCTAGAAAATAATATTTCATGATTGTTGGTTCTTAGGCTAACTATGTATGGACGCTGAACAATGTCCTTTTCGTACCTATAGTACTAGATTTTTTATAGTTATTAATTGGGGAAGAAGTAAGACGTGAACTAAACCAGTTGTTTAAAAAATAAATAAACTTACGATAGTACTTACAAAGTCTGTGATTGGTTTTTCTGGATCAACGATCTGTGACTTTGATTTAAGAAATTCTAGGATCCTAGAAGCAGCGGTTATGCCCTTGTGGAAGTCGGGAGCGAACGTGAACGCGTTTTGCGCCTGACCCGAAGCCATTTGTAGAGATTGTGTCGTACTGCCACATAAATAATATTTTATTATACAAAGTATCGAGAAGCAGTTTTAAATACTTAGTATATGTGTAACAATGCCGGCGGCCCTTATTTACAGCGTGAGGAGCGGTGGCCAGGTGGTTTTAAAGGAGCGCTAAAAAGCTATGCGCCAACAAAATCTATACGGCACAGTTAATAATAATATAATGCGATTCAACTAAGAATAGGACCGACTGGGCGACATATTGTGACGTCATAGCTGTCAATTCAAACCAAATAGGTAGAGTGAGCAAAAAGAAGTTTTTATTTAATAAAACTTATTAACTAAGATTAAGTGAGAAAAAACATCAGATTTTTTAATAAAATTAATTTACTAAGATTGAGAAAAAGCACAACCGATTTTTAATAATATTTTTTTATTAATATTGTGTGAGAAAAAACATTAATCATTAGCTCTTCAATTCCGCTCATCTCTGCATTACCGCTGGAATAGTTATGAATATCATGCAGGTCACATACGAACATGCATCCTTTATGTAAACGAAAGTTTTAAATCGAGTTTCTAAACGCAACATAAAGTGACATTTGGTTAAAGATTTAGGTTATCAACCATTCATAGCCAAAGCCCAATAAAAAAAAATATCAACCAATATTAATTATCAATATTTGTTTGTTTAAAAATGTTTGGTTTCTATTCTAGAATTAGCCGAGTGCTAAAAAAGTGTTCCGAGATTGTTTTGCTAACCGTACTTTTCAAGCGACATTTGACAGATTGAGGTCATTGGCTGTTTTATTCTTATTTGAATCGCATTATAGTTACATCAAGCACACCTACCAACCCGTCTGCAAAACAGACTCGCGCATAAAAGGAGTATTCGTGTGAATACTGTTTCTATACGCAAGAACATAATTAAGTAGAGTATGTTGTGGTACTGTACATATAGTGGTTACCCTATAATTTGAGGAATTTCAAAATTCCTGACTTTTCGAAAAAAGTCCGGATTTGTGATTATAAATCACAAAATGGTACCATTCCTCACTTACTTACAATGGTATGGTATTTAGATTAATATTAATTAATATTAATATTAATCTCTTTATTATTCATGTTCAATGTAAGTAATTTAAAAAATCCGGTCAATTCAAATATCCGGACAAAGTCGGACTGTAGTCTAAAAGTCCGGACATGTCCGGACTAATCCAACAAGATGGTAACGCTATGTAAATGGCAATCGATTTTCTATATCCAAAAGACAGGTAATATAATTCGAGAGAAACCCCATCCAAAGTGCGAGCCTTAGGAGGGAAGAGTTTTTCGTCAAAATCGTATCGTTAACAAGAGTTATCGTTTTTTTATTCACTTATTTATTAATTACGTTATAAGTTGATGACGGGTTATGTTATGTTGTGATGTAGGGAATTCGTTAGTTGGAAGGCCCATCAGAATCCGATACCGTGTTGAGATGCAGCCAGGCTGGTCATATGGGTTTTCCACCCAGTGAGGAAGGGGAGACTACGGTTTATTAATAGTGAGACGCGAAAGGAAAAGGATAAGAAACGAAGTAGAATATAAATAAAAGCTTTAAAGGATGGGAGTAAGAAGAGTGTAAAAGATGAAGTTGAACATTGAGCGGGACAGGCCGGCGACCACGCCGCGCAGTGCACCGCGCGCCAAGCTGGGCCCAACGCTAGCTGCAACCGGCCAGTACCTCTCGCCTCTCGCGACTTAGCGATGCCATTTTTTTGCAATTTCTGGTTTTAGGTACGTCTCCGTACGATCATAAGTAGAGCGTGCACAGAGAAGTCTAATGACATTTAAAATAGAATTCGCACGAAAACTCAAACAAAGTGCGAGAAAGTAGGTGCTAGTTGCGAATTATGTTCGCAAGTGAAAAACTTTTTTTTTACTAACATAAGAATATGTTCGTATGCCACGCCGCTATTGACTATGAGGTGTCCGCCGTAGGTGAGGGCCACAGCGTTGATAAAGTTGAACATGGAGCGGGACAGGCCGGCGACCACGCCGCGGCAATGGGCCGCGCGCCGGGCCGGGCCCAACGCTGGTTGCAACCGGGCCGTATACTCGGCCAGCACCTGCCTCTCACGACCGAGCGAAGCTACTGTGCGGACGTTCGACACCGCCTCTATTGCTATCTACTAATATGAAAACGTTGAATCAAGGTAAGCTAATGCAATAGCGGATGACAAGGATATTTTAATTTGGTTATAGTCTCTATGGACAGCGCACAACGCCGGATGGCAAGGGATGTGTATTGCATTCCAATAGAAGTCTGTGTGACTTTTAAAAATGAAAGTATTTGAAATGCAAAATAGAAAATACCTATTTCAATTTTATATTTAAATACCATTTTAGAAAAACATTGTCTATTTATTTAGACATAATTTTAATGAAATATTTTGTATTTGCAAAATGCTAAAAATACTTTTTAACCGACTTTAGAAAGGAGGTTTTATAATTCTCAATTCCGTCAATATATTTTTTTCTATATATAGGGTGAAATTGAATGTTTCTATGAAACTTCGTGAGATTATTGGGTTATGTGTATAGAGTATGCCTGTTTTTTTTCGGATTTTTTTGAAGTATATTTTTTTCATGTATTTATTTATAATTTGTGTATTTTTGTGTCCTTTCCTCCTTTTCAGTAGTTATTCATTTGAAACAAACAAACTTACATATCCAGTGAAAAACAACTAATAAATAAGCACTTCTAAAAAACTGAAAAACATTAAAATTCCACCGCGGGTCAACGACCGACCGCGCCCGCCAGCCGTTGAGTGAATAGGTACCTAGCTCTACCTAGAGCTCAGCTGACTCGTTTGATTCCACACAATACAATAAAATCGGCTTAGATGCCTTTATTGAAATTGAAATAATAAGCACAAATGTCATCTTCTCTTAAGCAGAGAAAAACTTTAAAAGTTAATAATAATTTTGTCACGATTGGAAATAGGCAAATGTTAAACAAAAAGAAATACTTATTGCAGTTCAATACTTGGGTCAGAATGAAATTTATAACCAGGTATTCAAAAGTACTTACGAGACCGGCGATGTAAGTAGGTACAACGAGGAACGAGGAACATATTCATTTTTTTCACTAGAACTTTTTATCAAATCAATCACACTGGTAGTACACAATTAGTTGTTTCTAATCAAAAAGTATTTACACTAGCAATAAAAAGAGACTTAAATTATTATCTGCAAAATTGTTGCTCTAAACCACAATTTTGCTGCAAACAAAGGTAGGCATGTTTGCGGACGTGTCTTTTCACCTTTTTTAATGTGTCCCTATCACTACTGACTGCACAAAATGCAACTTCTATGGTTTGGGGACTCATTCGTAAACCAAACCTACTTCGTCACACTCGCGATAGCAGTACACCATCTCTAAATATTCTTGGTTCGTATACCGAGGCATAATGAAATTATCACAGTGTATGTCACTAAGTCAAAATATGCGTACGCTCACGCGCGATAGATATACTTGCGACTGCGTTTTGCATGCAATCAAAGCAAACCACCGCGTGCGGGGAAGAGGGGAGGTGGGCGGAATTCACATCATCAAAGACGCCGCAACCGGCGCTAGTTGCCAGCGTGCGGCGCGCCGCTCGCCCGTGCTTGCCGCAAAACAACATATTATTATGTATGTGTGTGTGTGTGTGACTGTGGCTGTGATTAAACGTTTTGGGAATTTCATGACGTGGGCAAATCAGACACGAAGAGTTCCTTCCTTCACTAAGCTCGTAAGTTATACCGATTTGCTCTGTATGATTTTTCACAATTTTAAATAAGCCGTTTGTGCTTAAGTTTTAATTAAACGAGGCAACTAACATTAACAATAAAAAAGAAGTTCTTACACTAACTAACAGACAGGCTTTACCGATTTAAAATCGTGACAGTCATATTAACTTTATAGGATTTTTAATTGCTCTAACAGAAGATTTATTTTATTGATTAATTACCTGTGCTTTATGAAATAATATTCAAAGGTATTGTGTATCAGTGAATAAATAATTATAATAAAGCATCTAAGACTATTTTATTGTAATGTTTTTAAATAGACATGTTTAAAATGAATAATTACTCATAAGGAAGAAATGACAAAAAAATAACCAAATAAAAAATTAAAAATCGAAAAATTTTATTTTAAAAAATCCGAAAAAAATCAGGCATTATCTATACACGTAACCCAACAATCTCACGAAGTTTCATAGAAACATTCAATTTCACCCTGTATATATATATATAAATATACACCGATTACGCTGAGATTTCTGATCCGATTTACGTAATTTGGCGCAGTACTTTTTATTTTATGAGCCTATTACCTATACCTATTTGTAAACCTGGACGGTGTAATTATATAAAAAAAAACGACGGGTTACACTCTGGGAGTGCCGGCAGAAGTGAAAACTTAAATATTAACGTTGTGCATTTTTGATATTTTGGAATGGTTAGGGAATAATTTTGCACGAATTGCTTTAATTATCAGTATAAAAGTATTATCATGTATGTGGTAGAATACAATATTTATTTATTGCGCTATCGTACACTAACATGACAATTTATATAACATTAAAAAAGTTTATCTCTCAGAAAAATCAACTTACATGAATCACGTTTAAGCGCACTTAGCGACATCTATTGTAAAGAAATCAACTTACATGAATCACGTTTAAGCGCACTTAGCGACATCTATTGTAAAGAAATCAACTTACATGAATCACGTTTAAGCGCACCTAGCGACATCTATTGTAAAAAAATGCATTTCTTCGCAATAAAGCTGCAACGTGGACGTCCTAGATAGAGACTTTATTATAATACGATAAAATAAAATATTACTATGTTTCGTCCAATATATTGAAAGTCAACAACCTTTCCAATTTTATTGTGTGTCATGATGCGATCAGCCCACATATTTAACCTGACGCGAGTTTAACATTTTTTACCCATACAAAAAAAGTGTACAACGCCGCTAAAGAAGTTTTCACTTCAAAAAACGAGCGAGCCTTACAGTAGTCGCGTATCATGTGTAACATTTGAAACCTCACCTTATATTAGTAAAAAAAGAAATAAAACCTACTACAAAAGGAATAAGCCATTTGAATATTATGTTTTTAAATCAAATCAAATAGCGCGCGCTTTCGCGACTTCATGTTACACACTTCCGTCCCATTTCACGAAATCACTCACACAAATTGCAGGAAAGCGAGAGGAAAGATGTTATACATCAATAATAAGTTTCACCCAGTTGTTTTTATTTTACGAGCACTTTTGCTTACTTAGACGATATAATTCTAACGACATTTTGTGGCTCTTTTTATTAGGGATTGAAACGAAAATTATAAAAAAGAATTAAACTCGGCTTCGAAATCGAAAATGGAACTAAATAGTACAAAAATCACACAAAATCTGCCGGTTCCTAGTATGATTTGCAGTCGGCCTGGGCCAACCCTGGGCAAATCATACTTGGACCTCAATCAACAATACAATCATACTCTATTCCATGTTTCAATCTTGGCATACGTGTTTTAATCTCTTGACCAAAGCGACTTCTAAATCATCCTAGGACCCACCCGTTTTCACGTGAACCGGATATTATTTTTTTGATAAGTCAAAATAGAATAAACATCATTTTGAACTAAAGGTATATTTTAATAAAGTATTTTGGAAATACGTATTTTTTTTCAATATTTTAAATAGAAAACTGAAAAACTGTTTTTTATTTTGTATTTAAATACTTTTTATAATATATTTAGGTCTGTACGTATCAAATCGTTCATAGGCAGACATTTAAACATCAAAGGTAACATTCGTGTTTTGAGTATTTGAATTTGGTATGTAGGTTTAAGTTTTTCTAATACACCCTGATCGCGAACTACCCAATTTAAAATACATTGAAATCACAGATATTCGCTGACGAGGAGCTACATGGCGCAATTGTCAGCTCAGTCCGTTCGGTGTGTTTAAGTTATATACTTTTAAAGACTGGTCTTTTCTCAAGTGAATGTACCTAAATATATCATTGGCTAATAATTGATGGACTGATCTATCTTAATTAAGTTTTTACAAATATACGTTTTATAGCTAGTTTCTAATATAATATACGGAATCTGTTCATAAGAATTCTCATTTTAACCTTTTTCAACGAATTTCCATATAACCTCTGCATTTAAAATGTAGATACCCAAGTTACGCGTTACCATCGTGCTGTTCTCCAGGGTTTTCGCAGTACCACGTGATTCTTCTCCAATTGCCTTGCCCTGGTAGTAGATGACCACCGCGACGACGGGGATGAACGACAGAGCCACCAATGCCACCCGCCATTCGAACACCAGGGCCAATAATACGGCGAGGCCGATTGAACCAACCCCCTGCAAGACTACGCCAATACGCTGCCCCGTTGCCTGGGGGAAGACATACCTATACTTAATAAAGGACAAGTTATATTCTGATCGTTTCTTAAAAGGTCCATGGATCTCGCGGACTACTTGTTGTGGAATTTTAGTAAATGTTTAACCCGTCTGCCAAGCGTGGCGTATACGCCCCCCCCCCCCTAATGATTGACGTAAATAGGTAAAATGGTAACAGCTTTGATAACAGCTGAGCAGAGGGTGGAAGAATCCCCGGGTATAAGATCTGGCTAACATCGAAGACGACTATACCGGGCAACTTATACAATGCGCACACTAAGGACTGACGCGAAGTTTACGGAGTTGAAAGAAGCTGTTAGTAAGCTACGCTGGGATGTTATCGGTATATCTGAAGTCCGGAGGGAGGGCGAGGACTCCATAATCCTCAATTCTGATAACTTATTATATTACCGGAGGGCGACAAGCAGTCCCTAGGTGGTGTCGGGTGTATCGTCCATAAGTCCAACGTCAACAATTTGATAACCGTCGGAAGTGTGTTGACCAAGTTAGTATACCTGATACTCAGAATATCGAAAAGATATTCGTTGACTGTCATTCAAGTCTATGCTCCGACTTCGACACATTCAGATGACGAAGTTGAGGCTACGTATGAGGAGATCTCTAAGCCATGCATAGCCACAAAACTCACTACACAGTTGTGATGGGAGATTTCAACACACGGTTGGAGAAACGCTGCGGTCATGAGTTGAGAGTGGGGCAATTCCCAAATGCTTTTGGGATTTTGGAGTAAAAAATGAGATCGACCTTTTCATGTCGACGAAAAAAGATATCGACTGATAAGGTCTGCGCTTCGACCAATTCCCGCACAATTTCAAAACCCCGAGAGCTTTCAACTCGAACTCCAAAACCGCTTCGAACCCCTTTGATAACAGCTTAAACATGGACGAGCTAAACAGCATGATGGTGACTATTGCCCGTACGATAGTAGTACGGCCACAGTATTTCTAAACCCGTCGTACCAGAATAAAAAAAAATCTCCTACAAGACACTCCAACTTATGGGTGGCGAAACGCAACGAGGGTCGAGGTCTCAGAACTCAGCCGATGCATAGGACTGATCGATGTGAAGATCCTGAGGGGTGGCCTATGCTCAGCAGTGTGCGTCGTTCGGCTGAGATGAAGATGATGATGATTTATAAGGACTAAGGATAATACGATTCAAACTTTATAGCGGTTGTGAAGTTAACAGTAAGCGCAATTATGCGCTGATTTTAGTTCAATAACATCCCACTTCCTTGTGGATTCTGAAAGCAGCGCCGTGATTTGCGCTAACTCCACGAAGGTTGAAGAATTTTTAAGTAAAATTTTGTATAACAAAATAGTTTAATGATGTGAATGCATTTGCCCTAGCTGTAATGCCGTTCATAGGAATTTCATTGAGTGAATTTTAAGGTTATTTAAGTGCGAATATTATATAGATTACTAACTTATTTGTTTCTTAGGTTTTCACGCACATCACTCATTAAATAAAACTAGTTTGTTACGGGTTAATGCATGAAACTTTATTTATTTATTGACGTTTCGCAGCCTTTAAAGGCTGCGTCGTCGGAATAAAATTTTTATTTAATTTTGTCTAGCTACCTTCGAAAGACTTTTATTGAGCGTTCGGTCATTTCATTGTTAGATTTTTAAAGTTTTATTGTCTATGTATAAATTTATTACTTAATTTAGCTAATAAAGTACTTAATTAAAAAATCTTTTCTGTAATTTTAAATTTATTTATTTGACCCTAACTACTGTAAACTACCACCCGGTTCCAAAATTAGGAGACCTTTCTGAGAAGAACCGGCAAAACAAACTCAAGAGAGGCTTTCTATCTTCTTCTTATGTTAAATTATGCAAACAAAAAGAACTAATAGTATGAAACCGAAACAAATTAACTGCCGCAGGAAACTCTTTGTTTCAGAGAGCACGGGGTGTCTGTGACAAACAACACCTAGCAGCTGAACTTGTCGAGCGAGTACTGAAGGATAATTATCTGAATGTACCACGTCGCCGTCACAGTCGCGCCAAACTTAGCACAGTCACCGACAACCTGCTATACTACCTTACATGAAAGGAGTCACTGACAAGATTAGGAGGATTGGAGTTCTGAAGCGTGCTTCAAGCCGCCAAAGAAGATCCAGTTTCTACGACCGGTCAAGTGCAATATACCCTTTCAAGTTGCTGGTGTCTACAAACTTGAATGCGACTGTGGGCTCTCCTACATCGAGCAAACAAAGAGGAGTATAGGGACTCGGGTAAAAGAACATATCGCAGATATGAAACATAGGCGTGACAATAAGTCTGCAGTGTGTGAACATGCATTAGGGGGACCAAACCATTTTATTAGATTTGATAAACCACAGATCCTTGCAACTGAGCAACGATTCATTCCTAGAATGATATGCGATGCTATTGAGATTAAAAAATATCCAAATTTCAATAGGGAATATGGTTGGTATATACCACCAGCTTGGGAACCCATTATACAGGAGATAAAATCCCAACCCCGAACACACACTACAAGACCAACAGATACTATTAGTTCTTTTTGTTTGCATAATTTAACATAAGAAAGGATAGAAAGCCTCTCTTGAGTTTGTTTCGCCGGTTCTTCTCAGAAAGGTCTCCCAATTTTGGAACCGGTGGTAGTTTACGGTAGTTAGGGTCAAATAAATAAATTCAAAATTACAAAAAATATTTTTTAATAAAGTACTTTATTAGCTAAATTAAGTAATAAATTCATACATAGACAATAAAACTTTAAAAATCGAACAATGAAATAACCGAACGCTCAATAAAAGTCTTTCGAAGGTAGCTCGCCAAATTAAATAAAAAGTTGATTCCGACGACGCAGCCTGTAAAGGCTGCGAAACGTCAATAAATAAATAGTAAAAACTAGTTTTATTAGATTACTAACTGCTTGAACTTGCGCCGCTTCCCCAGAGAGGCGAGCGCACAAGGCGCCAGTGGAGTTGAGCCGATAGTCGTAAAATGCCACATTCTGCCGCATCAAGTGTTGGAACATGTGCACGCGCAGTCTCTCTGTCAAATAAGCTCCTGCCGCGCCAAATGAGGTTGCCTGTAACATACTATACTTATAATATAAAAAAACCAGCAGTTTTTGGACTAAATATGTATTGTGACTATAAATGGGTTACCCACCCAGCTGGTTTTAAACCCAGGTGGGTAAAAACCGGGTATTTTGGGTTTAAACCCATAAACACCAATTTTTTGGGATTTTATTATTTTTAATTTAAATAAGAAATATTATCTACTTCTCGACCTGACTGCTGCTGCTGCTGCTGCAAGCTGGTATAGTCAGCCACAGTTCTAGCTACCACCCATTTGCGTAGTTTGTGGCATGTTGTATTGCGGTTTTGAAGTGACTTGGCGGAATTATCCCAAAGGCGTAAGCAATATTCTACGCAGTACCACACTTGCGTCTTCTATAACAATCACTTTTGATCGGGAATGGAAAAACACCGTTCCATGTTCAGACCTCGAGTTTGTGTGAGGATGTTTTAATCACGTTCTTTGTATTTAAGTCACAGCGAACTTCCATACTGAGCATGGTCGTGATATTGCTATGAGGCTCCAGTATTATGCTCTAGAAAGAATGAACGGGAAGCAAAGTCCTCTTTTCCGTAAACGCACTGACCTGGGTTTCCTTAACATTGAAATCAACCAAGTTCTTGGAACCCTATTTGAACACTTTTGACAACCTTCAAGAAAAATCGCCTAACCGGCACGAGCTGTTAGTGCACCGCGGTATGTCAGGAGAGACGGTTGTGTATTTTTTACACCACGCTTATCCCCTAACACGGCAATCGGCCGACTGTCGGCATTAGGTATAACCCCGAAATACGGCAAGCGGCCGACTGTCGGCCGTTTGCCACAAGCGGCACGCGACCGACATTCGGCCTTTCATCGTTTTTCTATCCTGCCTTCATTCATATATCAATTTTTAGAGGAAAAAACGGGCTAGCTATCTAGCCATTCATAAAAACAAGTGCCATATGAAATATTTATACTGTTATCTGTCAAAGTTCGTCGTTCGCCGTTTTTTGTCTGAAAAAAAATATGCCGTGTATTCAGACTATTTTAAGTGCTTTTGAGTGGTTTTAAAGAAAAAAACACCATTCCTGGTTAAGTTAAATACATTTAGTTACTCTATTTTGATGTTTCGTTTGCGGGTCTCCGTGAATTTTTTTTTTTAGAATTTTTTTGCAGACGCGGTCGCAAAAAAAATCAGCGAAAACTTAGGGGTACTTACCCTATGTTTTCATTTGATAATTTCGATAATAATTGTAATGTTTTAATTTTTAATTATTGAATAAATTATTCATGATTAATACTTCGAATACAATGAATCTCTTGAGTTCGTATTTTTGAAGAAATAAAAAAAAACAAAATCCGCGCGGTGGAACGGTCGTTCGTAATTCAAATACACGAACGAAATATTTTTTTATATTATTTTCTTGTATGTGAACTAGTAATTAGTTTTTGTTTATTCTAAAGCAAATTTCGCGTACATTTTGATAAAAAAAACTGTTTATCAAAATTGAAAATACTTTTCGTTTTATAGACATAATACTGAGATGACTGATTTGTAGGCGATTTTTAAATGCCTCGTTGTAAGTTCTTAAACCTAAAAAATATACAAACGTTATTCATAACAATCTTGGTTCTAATGTTATCTTAACACTCGGAGCTAATGGAGTAATAAATTACAGCCATTCAAACGCCCGGCTTAATCCTTATCGACCCATTTGAAATTCGAGCTCTGTTTATACTCCGCGGTTTGTTTACATTAACGGCACGCGCGCAATGTGACGAGCTGTAGGTATAATTAAATTGTGCGAGTATAGTATTTTATGTGTTTATTTGGTAAGTTATAATAGAATGTGCAAATAACAAAAAAATCTGGAAATAAAATTTTGAAATTTTGAAAATATACTCCATTTTACCCATCTAAACGCCTTTTTTTTATCTTTCCCGAGTTTACCGTAACGTAATTAAAATAGATTATAGACATGACGCATTGTTTAGACACTGTTTTATAGTAAATTTTATGGAGAATCCAAATATATATAGTTTGTGCACGGTATTCTTACAAAATAACAGAGAAATCGGCAAAGCAATGCAATCATTCCCACCCCGCGGGGGGCCTCGGTGGGTGGTCGTGCCGTGTAAGGGTTTAGCGGCGTGTGCGTGTGGCCGTGGTAAGTAAAAAACTGCGGATTGCCTGCGCCAAGTTATGCATGAAGTTTAATTCTTATGTCATTATGTTTATATTCATTACATCTGTAGATTCATTTAATAACTAATGCAATTGATTAAATTGCGATTGAAATTAGAATTACATTATTTATTTTATTAATTTTTAAAATGGCAGTTAGGGGAAAATGAAAGCTTAGGATGGATTAGCTTAAGAAAAGTGGGGAGATGTGGTTCCGATGCAGAGTTGCGGAAACTGGGCACATGAAGAAATGTAGTTTTTGTTTGGACATAAAATCTGGGTCATATGTTAATATCTTTATTTTTATTGTTATAAATTTTGATTTTTTATTCTTTTTACAATGAATAGTTCTTAGAAGAAACTAACTAAGATCACGTTAAAGTATCTAGTAAGAAAGTAGTTTAACTTTTGCAGAAGACTTAAATATAAAGGTTCCCATTTCCCATACGAGTGTGAAATTGGCTCCCATTACCCGCCACGTGCGGGTACAGCAATTGTCTTTTTTTGTAAAATCATTATTGTTTCTTAACATAGGACTGTAATTAATTCTAACTGTGATTAAAACATACCTAAAAGATAATTTTTAGAGTTCGTAATTAAAAATTATAAGAAGGTTAATAAATATAGTTTTTATTAAAGTTTGTCCTTAGTAGGCTCCCATTACCCTCGCATGAACTACGAACCTCTTCTATCCGTAAGGCTACGAGTTTAACGTTTATGCAGGAAATCAGCTACCCAGCAACAGAACTGACCAAGTAGATCATATGCCTGATAGTTGGAGAGAAGGCTTTTGTGCTAGACTCTGTCAAGGCTGATAGCCAACAACTCGCCCTGCTTGTAAATATCCTCACCCCAGGTGTGAGTATTGTAAACCAAAAGATCACCCGTCGATCGTTTGGGTCTAAATCGTATTGAAGATCATTAATCAGTGAGTGATTCTCTAGGTAGCAGCAGATGGTTATTATGGACCTTTTCTAGGTGTTTACACAATATTGATACTGAAGACTGATAATGGTATATACTTTTTTGGGAATCGGTTGCTCATTAAAGAGTACAAAAGTTGGTACATACACGTGAGTACGGGGACAAATCCACTGCACATTTTTTAAGCACAACTGCTGGGTTGCCACCGGGTCCAACAGCTATCCGGACATCCGACTGATTACAATTCCGTGCAAACTTCACGCTGCCATAATGAGGTAATGATGGTTGCAGTTGCATTTAATTTCAATCATCGATTCGGGAGTTGGCCGCAAATGAATTTGCGGCTTCATGAGCTAGTGATCCCTCTGAGATGATCAGACTGCACTGCCGCGTGGGCTATCAGAAATTGTTCTGCACGACCTTTGTCAAACCCCAATAACTACGGTTGGCTACGGCTTCCGGTGGATGCATTATAAATTCTTGATCAATTCGTGCTACATGCTGTACATCCGCTCTAATCTAATCTAATAAGCTTCTCCTTGATGTGACCGTCCAAATCTATCGACCCTTAGTGTCAGATCCGGCGTTTGACCACCGCTGAACTCGGAGGCTCGGACTATGGCGCCTTATATACTATTAGTGATCTGACGATCCCAGTGATGCCCTGAGCACAACCTGATGGCCCTGAAAATAAGTGGTGGGTAGAAGATCCAGCAAAGAAGGCTATATCTGGGATCCTGGTGGTGTAGTTGCTTCTAGTCATGTGTGAGAGCAAATGGAAATTTAGGAGGTATGACATCTCAAAATATACCTACCTCAATTCTGTATTGGGAAATTGCTCCTGAACGTCATCTGCTTCCTGACTAAGACGGTCTTAAAATTTTTACTAAAAACAATATTCAGATGCCTTATTACAATATGTATACTAAAGTTAAACCCAGTCTAAAAATTTTGCTGTCACCTTTGTTTTAGGCAGTTTTAGGTTCAAACTAAATCTTTTCTTTAGTCCACGTTTTGGAATAAAGCGGGTAAAGTTTATTGTCAGGATATAATGTTCATTCCAAACATGGCATTTATAACATTTATTTGTATCATGCAGCTCTATAGTTTAAGGCCTTACTATGTGATTTGAATATTATTTGGTTTACAGAATAGATGGCATTGACTTTGGTTTAATTAAATAACATAATAAAATAAAAATGCATTCAATCATGATTCAACATTAGAACGTTGACGACAAACAGACGAAGAATTGCGTAGGTTCTATCTCGTTCGTATTATAATTATTAACATTTATTTGATCTGTGAAAGCTTCTATGACGAAATGTCATGTCTTCTTCATTTTATTCAAAAGAAGATACTCATCAGAAACAAACGGTGTTGAATGCATGCAAGAATAGGATAAATAAGTATTATTTTGGACTATTAATGGCCCTAGAGTCAAGACTTTAAATATGTGTGCGAATAAAGTGTTTTGAAGAAATTTCAAAGTACTTATCTAAGGCAAGCAAACTGTCAACATGTTGGTCAAATGCAACATGAAAACACAGAATACTAATTATTTTCGTCTCGGTTTTAAATTTACATTCTTTAAATTCCCTAGGTAACGTTTCCATAAATTATTGATTCTTCATCGATGTAGAATTGATAATTGTAATTAATAAAAATAAAGGACATTGTTCAGCGTCCATACATAGTTAGCCTAAGAACCAACAATCATGAAATATTACTTTCTAGGTTCAAAATCGTAAGTAAATGACTGTAAAAACAAAGATTATTGACGGACACTTCTGAGAACTTAAATTATTAGGAAAACTTGAAATTTTTTGAGGTTATGTTTAATATTCAATGAAACATAGGTCAACCTATGAATTTAGTATAAACTCAGTATGAAGTGAATTAATATTACAACTAATTCATTTTATTCGGTGCGATTTTAAAGAAGAACTATTAGGAAAAACTTGGTTAGGTAGGAATCATGAATAAAATAAAAACTGTAGTTTTGCTTCTTTTTTGTTGACTATTTTTCACATAGTTGTATCATATTTGAATATTGTATTTATTTGTATATCACATGTATATTGTGTAAATATGCAGCGTGAATGTGTATCGGGTGTTGTGTTCTTGAATAATTAAGCAGTATGATCCTCTCAGGATGTTGTGGCACAGGTTCACTAGCACTTGGTTATAGGGGCTCTTCTCTTTGGTAACATCGATGGCATATTAGAAAGCCAAAATAGTTAAATTTAAGGAAAAACAATCGCAAATAAACACACAACAGGTACTCTTTGGAATGTACGAATGCCACAGATTACTACGAATGCAAACTGCATGCACCACAACCATAGAGTAACGAGTTTTATGCCGGCCCTTCACTTGACAACAGTTTGTCCTTGTCATGCTTAATAAGGAATGAAAAGGACAGACTGATGTCATGTTTTAAAATAGCAAATACGAATAGCCAAGTGAAGTGCCGACATTAGGAAGAAAGAGTGTTTTGTTTGCAGCGCTGCCATAGATTATACACATAAAATGGTATTTATTGTCTCAGATTATTATTTAACTTTCAAATTTAGCTTACTTAACTGGAAGTGTCCGTCACAATCTAAATACTGATAATTATTGCAAAAAATATACTAAGAATTATCATAAATGCCAAATTGGTGTTGGTTCTTAGGCCAATTTTAACATTGTCCTTTTAAAACTTGTTTTCAATATACCTTAATCTATTTTCACAAAAGAAGTAAACACCCATTTTAAAGGTGTTACGGGTGTTTATTGGGTTTTTATCAAAGGAACAAACTAAGGAACGAACTATAATTGTGACTAACTATCGCACCTGCGAATTTCCTCTTGTACGTAATTTGTCAATAGAATAAAAAATAAATCTTACCTCTATGAAATGACTAAGTCCCATCACAACGCCTATAGCAATACAGGCTAAAGAAACGAACTCAACTTTAGCCAGTAGCTCAGAAGGATCGGAACTAGACATAGACTGAAACAAGATATGAATTCTTCATGAGAACACAAAATAGACATAACAGAAGGTAATCTCATGAATGTACTTCACGTTGCATACCTACGCTTGCCGGTCGCACTAGGATTGTCAACATTGGCTTATGCACAAAAAACTATTTCGGTAGTGGTTGTAATTCTTTTTAGTTGTTGGATTTATTGTCGAAAATGAGTATGAAAAAGAAACAGAAGGAACGGAAATACATATAACTAAAATATTTAAATTTTACAAATTTAAAAACTTCCAGTTCACCGCTTAATGTTATTTATTTATTTATTTATACTTAATGCACAAGTGTACAAAGGCGGACTTAATGCCATAGGCATGCTCTACCAGTTAACCATAGGGTGTTGTGGATAAATAGTGGTAGGGTGCACAACTTACATGGAAGTTACAGAAAGAAGAACATATATAAATATGAAGCAGTCATATATATAATCACACATACATACATAATTACTTACATATAAATAACTACTATACATATACATACATACATATAAATATACATACTAAAACATAATAATTACGACAAACGATTTTCAAAAATTCAAACAACCGTCTACTGAATTTGTTTATCCATTTTTACACTAAAAAGATCACAGACGCGTATCTCAAGCGGATGGAACTTGCGCTCGCAGTGGTCTGAACTGTGTAACTGGTTCGAGATATTGTGTCTATGTATGCGTTGTTCGAACGCACTTTGTATGTCTAGATTACCTTCTGTTGTGTCTATTATGTGATGAGAAGGTGGCTTCATAATTGAAATTCAACTTGATTGCTTTGAATTAATATAATAAAGCAAGTATATACAGGGTGAAATTGAATGTTTCTATGAAACTTCGTGAGATTGTTGGGTTACATGTATAGAGTATACCTGATTTTTTTCGGATTTTTTAAAATTATTTTTTTCGTTTTTTATTTTTTTTTATTTTGCATTTTTATGTCCTTTCCTCCTTTTGAGTGATAATTATTTTTAAACACGTATTCATAGTAAGTGAAATATAACAAATAAATAAGCACTACTAAAATAAACGAAAAATAGTTGATATGGCCAGGCGAGGCCGACGCCGGGGGCAACCAGGGGGGGCACGCTTAGAAGAATAGATAATTTACGCTATAGCTGCGCCACCTATCAGCGTGTACGCAAAATATTTCCTAAAAATAATACTAAAAAAACTCAATAGATGGCAGGACACGACAGAGACCTTAAAAAAAACCAAATAATAATAAAAATTTAAATGCTTCTAAAGATATTAAGAAGATAATATTTTATGTATGTTTTATGAAATGATATTATTGAAAGAAGATATTTTTTATATATTTTGTTTAATTTCACCAACTTTTTGACATGAAACGGAACGTTATGTCACAAAGCAAAGTAGTGAAGTCGCACGTCACAACATGGCGGATTTGTTTCGTTTTGCGTGCGCTTGCGACTCTTCCGTGTTTTGTGGTTTCTATACGGTTTTAACTGTATTGAAATTGTATTATTGCCAAGTTATGTTGAGTTGAGTGCCAAAACTCCTCCGTAGCCTTGGATATTTTGTGAATTTGCGATCAGGACGCTGTTTGTGTAGTGCGATTTGGACGCTTTTGTGATTGTGTTTTGGATGCTGTTTTTGAAAAATATGCCTCCTCGCTGTTTTTTGGGATGCTCGAGTGGTGAGCTACTAGTTACTTCACCATTCTAACCTACATTTTACATAAATAAAATTCAAATTGTAAATTTTAGGGTCAGAGAATTCTCATGGTATTAAGTTGAGCGCCTGCCCATAATGACTATAATCCAGTGCATGCGCTTTAATATTGTCACCTCAGAGGATTGATATCTCTAAAGAACCTTTTAGCGGGACTAAAATATCCTACATATTAACATATGAGCAGTTCATAGTAAACAAACAAACATCCATATTTCCACATTAGTGTCTTCATTGTTAATATTGATAGGATAAAACAGGGATTGGTAGGAAATAAGAATATACTTTTTTTCCAGATCCAGGGGTACACTTACATGTATTTCCTCACCCTGAGCGTTTCCCGGACCAATTTAAAAAATGGGTGGAAATTGTTTATGGACAATTAAACACACCTGAAGATTATGCATTTTTCCGAAAAAAACGTTTGTGTGATAGACACTTCACAGCCAAAGACAGGAACAGGAATAACAGGCTGAATGCTCTGGCCGTTCCTTCATTATTTATAAAAGGTAGGTGGTTTTAATATTATTATGTTAAAGTAGCACAGATGTTTGTGATTTTATAAATTTTTGTCAATCTCTCAAATCCAAAAAGCCACAATAAAATATCTAGTATCTAAAGATTTTTTTTATTCTACTATCTCTTCTATTTTCACTTCTTTCTAGTAAAATTTCTTTAGATTTCTACATCTAGCAGTTAAATGCTTAAGAAATAAAAATATAATAATCTAGTTTATGGATAATTGAAGTATTAAAATATGTTTCATAAGATATACATACATAATAAATGGTGTATTTTGAGTTTTTTCAATTACTTGGCTGAATAACATTAAACTGATTAAAACTCAGTAAAACCTATACTGGACCCATCACTAGTTAAAATATTCATTGTTTTCAAAATTATTCTTGTTTTATATTCAATTACAGTTGTTTCTACAAACTGTTCGGCAACAATGTCTGAAACACAAACAAACACTTTGGTAGATGAACCCCTTCTTCAAACAATATCTTTGGCTGAGTCAAGAGGTATGTATTAATTAGTAATTTAATGAGGTAGTATAGTTTCTATTCATCATAAGTAGTTAGTTAATATTCTTGCATCCAACAATGATTAATTATCATTATCCTATAATGTCTTACTGCTGGGCACAAGCATTCCCTTTTGACACATGGGGAAAATGGCCATTTTCACTCGCGCTGATTGGTGGATGCCAACATCTGTTAAGAGTGACATAACTAATGACCACATGCTTTCTGAGGCACAGAGAAACTAGATATAATATGGCTGCCGTTCTAATGAGTAACCTTTTTGAAGAAATTAACATCAATTCAGTTTAAAATAATGGTATTATTATGTGATTTACAGATGAACATGGTGATAACACAATGGTTAATGAAACACCTGTAAATGAGGGAATGGATATAGATACTCCTCTTCTACAAACCATGTCTTTGTTAGGATCTTTGAGAGGTAAGAAACAATATTTAATTTTTTTTATCAACAATTGACTCACCCTTTGTTTTACTTCAATGTAAACTATAGTTCTTGGTCTTGTATTAATATAAATATAAACTCCGTGAAAAAGTATCCTAACTGATGGTGAAAATTGCATGAAAGTCCATAACATGTACAGAGAGACAAAGCATCATAGTTTACATTAAGATTTTTTTTACTGTCACTTGTCTTGTTTGTCAGCCTCTCTCACACCATATTTGTACAGTAAATTGTTGTCAAACATAGTAATTTAAAGTGTAGCAACAATATTATGTAATGAGGAGAAAAAAATAAGACTTCTTCTTCCCGTTAGTGCAAAGCCTCGTAGCTTCATAGTAACAGCATAGCTATAGACTGAAATTAGGCATGTGTTAAATTCAGCAACAAAGTGATCTGTTGTCAAAATCTTTAATTGCTGAAAAGTTATTTTATTAGTTGAAAATAAAAATTTTAATGGCTATGTAAGTCGCCTGGAAAATAAGGAACCCTAATTTTTTATACCCTTTTGCATTACATAAGCGTTACTTTAAAGATACTATTTGAAGTGACTGTTTATAGTTCAATGAAGTTTTGTATAAACTATATGAAATATTAATTAATTTATATATGTACTTACAGATGATCCTACTGATAACTTGACACCAACAAACAAAGCTCCTGAAACTAGGTCTGTCATCGATGTGATGACACTTCCTCTGCAGACAACTCACTTTGTATCTTTATGTGGTGAGTAACTATAACTAATAATTCAAAAATATTGATTTTGAAAAACCATATATGTATATGCTAATTTTGTATATACTATACTAAATATTAAATTTATGTAATAATGTATAATTATAAAAGTTAGTCAGGCTATATGTAAGAATAAAAAAGATTTAATATGATAAAGATGAAATATACTATATTCAGAAAATAAAAATACTACTATATTTCATTAATATTTGGTTTTCATTACTATGGTCAATATGAGAATAAGACTATTGTTCTCATACTTATGAATTTGTTACCTACTTATAAAGAGTTTGTTATAAAGATTTAAATTATGATTTACAGATGAACCTGTTCCCCAGTTAGTAAGTACAGCCCAAGGAAGTGACAGTCAGACAGTAGCTGAAATTACTGAAGATATTCTCCCTGTTCAAAGAACATTTGATAAGTCCTTGAGAGGTAAGATTTAACTGAGACATTCAAAACAATTCAAATCTAAACATATTAAATAAAATGAATTTGTTTACATTTTTAATTTAATATTAAGTATCTTAACATACATAACCTCACTTCCACTAAAATTTTCTGTATCATAATCTGTTAATGTGAAAAGAACGTTTAGAAATCAATGCTAAAAAAATATTCAAAAAAATGAATCGTAAACATTGCGTCATAATAGTTATGATGATGAATGATTGTAATGGTGGATCCACACCATGTTTTTGGTATAAAATCAAGCATTGCTTTTTGTTTTAGGTTTAAACACATCAATATTTTTGGAGCATAATTACAGCAAAATTTCTCATACTAAAAAAAATAATGTGGCTTGCCTCGGTAAGATAATTAAACTATATACCAACTGCTTTTTACATATTATTCTTACCATTTTTGTGAAAACATTTTTATAAGAACAATTTGTTTTTTTTCAGACGTATTCAACAGAAAACCAGTTTTAATACTGAGCAAGTATAAAACTGAGACTAGGATAATTAAGAATTTACAACGGCAAATAAAAATGCTACGCATGAGGTGTACGTCATTCAAGAACCAATTAGCAAGTGCAAAGAAAATGAC